ATTAGTGTACAAAAAAGATAATAGAAACACTTCACATAGCATTTCTTCAATGTGTAAAGAGAAATGTTAGGAATTTTGGTATATGGAAGAAATCTACTTCACTCTTCCAATAATGAAACTGCCATGCTACATTTCTGAAGGTTTCCATGACCTGTACTTCAGCAGTTGTGCTCTGAGGAAATTAGGAAGACAAAAGAGATAGTGAAAATCTTGGTACGCTGTCTCTTTACCTCCCTTCTGCCTCCCATATAGTTCCCATTTATCCTTCTTTTCCATATAGCCTCCTGCCTGCTTGCATTGTTATTTTTTTTTTATTTTTCATTATTTTGCCCACGTCTCTCAACTAAGTCTTACTCTCTGTGGGTTCCCTACTTTCAAATTTACACAGTCTCAGATTTCATTTTTCAAAAAAGGATCATTACATTTTTGTTAGAGTACAGTGGAGCTTTGTATAAGGATGTTTGGGGCAGGCACTGACAGTGATCCCATAAATATTATGCAGCCTAGTGATGTAGTAGGCGTCTTAATTTGTGTAACTATATTCTGTGTTACTCACCCAATGATTAAATCACTTAATGATGTTTTTTCTTTTCTCAAAAATGTCTCTGACATTAAGCAGAACGTGGTTGTATCTTGAAGCCAAAGAGGCTATGGTAGAGATGTGTGCGATCATGTGTTCCATCCTTAGCAAAATAAAATTGTAAATGAGTGAGAGGGATGCTAGTCCAGGATATTTTAGGGAAACTGGTCCCATGGGATGGGAGCACGGAGTTTTCCTCGGCCATCATAGCTTCATGTTTGTAGGGAAACTTAACGGAATATGCTATTTTCCTTTTTCAATAGAGATAGTATGTTGATACATAGATATTAACCAGTATTCTTTTTTTATTTATTTATAATTTTTTATTTAATTTTATATAACAAAGTCCAATTAAATGAAAACAAACATTTATACACAATATTTGGGAATTTGGGCATCGTTCTTTCCAAACTACTTCCTACTGGTAAGGGGTGCTGTCTTGGGGGATTCGAAGAAGATTCAGATATCCTAGCTGTAGTCTGTAGGGCTGTTTTGTCCAGCTGTTTTGAATGTAGGATCAGCTTGTACTCTGTTTAAGGCGGTCTGGCGTGATCAAACCACATTAGTCTGGAAGGAATCCACATCTTTTCATTTTCTGTGGAAACAAAAATAGAAATCCTTTTCCCCAGTAACTTGTTCTTCAAGTTAATTTTTGGATTCAAAGCATTTTTTTTAATTTATTATTTTCCATGTCAATCCCAGTTCCCTCTCCCTCCCTCCCTCCCTCCCTCCCTCCCCTCCAGCCCTCCCTCCCTCCTTCCATCCCTTTTACCCTCTCTGCCCTCTCACATGCACTCTAAGCACCCTCCACTCCCATCCCCCCACCACAATTCCATATGTAGGGGAATGCCATCCAGTTGGGGTCAAGTAGATGTGACAGGTCCTGTGAAGTAGGGACTAGGGCTTCTCTCCTGTCTCTAGAATAAGGCAGTTATCCCTCCATGGGGGATATGTTTGCAAAGTCCTTTTGTGCACCAGGGATACATCCTGGCTCCACTGTCTGAGATCTCTTAGACTGCTCAGACCTTCTGGCTGAGACTCATATTCAGGGGGGCCTAAGTCAGTCCCCTGCTGGCTTCCCAGCTATCAGTCTAGTGGCCCTTAGCTCCTCCTTGTTCAGGTAAGCTGTCTCTATGTGCTTCTACCGCATGGTCTTGTCCTCTCCATCTGTTTCTGGGTTCTAGTTCGTCTCAGTGTTTATGTATGGGTGTTTGCTCCTATTTTCAACAGGCATTAGTTGAGGTCTCCATGGAGAAGTTAGTTGTTGATCTCACTCTCCGGGAAGGGCATTTATGATAGCCTTTCCACGGAAGCTGAGATTGTTAGTTGGGAGCAGTCTTGTAGTTCTCTCGACCTTTCTTTGTGTTCAACTTTATCTTCAAACCATTTGGCTCCCTCTTTTATGTCCTCTCTCTCTGTCTCTGTCTCTGTCTCTCTCTCTCTCTCTTTCCTATCTTCCATTCCTAACCAGGCTCAATCCTCCTGGTCGCACATGCCTTCCTCTCCTCCCCCTCATTTTCTCCTACTTATCTCTCCATTCCCTGTCCTCCCCCACTTCACCTGAGCTCTGGGGGACTTGTCCCTTCCCAGTTCTGTGAGGGACTTTATATGAATCTCTTAGAATACACCTTGTATCCTAGTTCATCTGGTGATGTGAATTATAGGCTGGTGATCATTTGATCTAGTTCTAAAATCCATATATGAGTGAGTACATACTGTGTTCCTCTTTTGTGACTGGGTTACCTCATTCAGGATGGTTTCTTCAAGTGCCATCCACTTGCCTGCGAATTTCATGATATCATTATTTTTTTCTGCAGAGTAGTATTCCATTGTGTAGATGTGCCACATCTTCATTAACCATTCTTCAACTGAGGGGCATCTAGGTTGTTTCCAGGTTCTTGCTATTACAAACAGTGCTGCTATGAACATAGTTGAACAGATGTCTTTGTTGCATTGATGTGAATCCTTTGGGTATATGCCTAAGAGGGGGATTGCCAGGTCCTGTGGTAAACTAATTCCCATTTTCCTGAGGAACCGCCATACTGATCTCCAAAATGGCTGTATGAGTTTGTACTCCCACCAGCAGTGGAGGAGTGTTCCACTTTCTCCACATCCTCTCCAACATAAGTCATCACTGGTGTTTCTAATTTTAGCCATTTTGGCAGGACTAAGATGGTATCTCAAAGTTGTTTTGATTTGCATTTCCCTGATAGCTAAGGATGTGGAGCATTTTCTTAAGTGTCTTTCAGCCTTTTTGATTTCCTCCATTGAGAATTCTTTCTTCAGTTCTGTACCCCATTTTTAATAGGGTTATTTGGTGTTTTGTTGACTAGTTTCCCGAGTTCTTTGTGTATTTTGGAGATCAGCCCTTTGTCGGATATAGGATTAGTGAAAATCTTTTCCCAGTCAGTGGGCTGCCGTTTGGTCTTGTCAACTGTGTCCTTTGTCTTACAGAAGCTTCTAAGTTTGAAGAGGTCCCATTTATTAATTGTTTCTTTCTGTGTCTGTGACCCTGGAGTTATGTTCAAGAAGCAGTCTCCTATACCAATTTGTTCAAGGGTACCTCCTACTTTCTCTTCTAAGAGGTTCAATGTGGCTAGATTGATATTGAGGTCTTTGATCCATTTGGACTTGAGTTTTGTGCATGGTGTCAGACATGGGTCTATCTGCAGTCTTCTACACACCCTCATCCAATTGTGCCAGCACCATTTGTTGAAGATGCTGTCTTTGCTCCATTGTATAATTTTAGCTGTTTTGTCGAAAATCAGGTGTTCATAGGTGCGTGGATTAATATCAGGATTTTCAATTCGATTCCATTGGTCTACCTGTCTATTTTTATGCCATTACCAGGCTGTTTTCAGAACTATAGCTCTGTAGTAGAGCTTAAAGTCAGGAATGGTGATGCCTCCTGATGTTCTTTTATTGTATAGGGTTGTTTTGGCTATCCTGGGTCTTTTGTTTTTCCATATAAAGTTGATTATTATCCTTTCAAGGTCAGTGAAGAATTGTGGTGGGCTTTTAATGGGGATTGCATTAAATCTGTAGATTGCTTTTGGTAAGATTGCCATTTTTACTATGCTTATCCTACCTAACCAAGAGCATGGGAGATCTTTCTATTTTCTGGTATCTTCTTTAATTTCTTTCTTTAGAGTCACAAAGTTCTTATTATATAGGTCTTTTACTTGTTTGGTAAGCGTTACACCAAGATACTTTATGTAGCTTGTGGCTATTGTAAAGGGTGATGTTTCTCTGATTTCTTTCTCTGCCTCTTTGTCGTCTGAAAAAAATAGGGCTACTGATTTTTTTGAGTTTATCTTGTATCCTGCTAGTTTGCTGAAGGTGTTTACCAGTATTTTTTTTTTTTAAATATATAATTTAAACTTACGCCAGTAACTAGTAAAACTCATTATGGCCTTAAGTTTGCATTTCTTTATTATTGAAAAATCTGTTTACTGACTGAAATTGCTTATGTGTATTTCATTTGAAGTTATAATTGCAGTATCTCTTCCCTTAGGTGTGTGAGAGAGGCACTTAATTATCATTGATTCTTTTTCTCAAAGGACTGACAATCCTGAACATAGCTTAGATGTACCAGGTGGTTAAAAAAAAAGACCAGTGTTGCATTTTCAGTTTGGTTAATAAATTGGTTTTAGAGAAAAGCATCTTTTCATGGCACTCAGGAATAAAGCTAGTAACTTGCTCATAGAAGTTTACTTTTGTTAATATTTTCTTTTGGCATATAATTAAATATTGTCTCAGACCAAGGGAATATTCCCTAGCCTTAAAAATTCTTATGTGTGTCCAAACAGTATGCTGTAAAATGCAATTGGAAGGTGAAAGGAAAAATAAATTAGCATCAGGCTTGAAATCTGGCTAGATTATGCAATTTAGTGGAGTTGGTTATTTTTTTACTTTGTTAACACAACAAAGAAAGCTGAGGTATCTGTTTTAAGGGGAAAATGCTTACTGATTATAAATGCCTAGCCAGAAATTGAATTTACACAACCCTAACTATATAGATTCATCTAATTGATTCCTAATATGAGAAAGGACCGTCAGTGTCTCTTTCAAAACTTCTACTGCAACACTTTTCTTCCTACTCAGACAGAAATGACTTGATTTAGAAGACTGATCCCATTAACCCTCATCTATTCTCTGATATTCCAGGGAAGGAACTATAGATCTTTGTATGTTCATCCAATGGAGTGAGATCTGAAAACAACTTCAGATTGTGAATACTGATAAAACCAGATCAACTTAAAAGTCTAGGGTTGGAAACAGAGTATCTTTAAAAGAGGGTTGAATTTGGGTTTGGTGTTTACTAAAGGGTAGGAAACAACTCAAACAGCATTCTCATAGGAAAAGGAGTGAAAAGAAGTTTTATGCCTTGGGTCATTTGTGCTTTTTTGTGTTTTTGCAGTGGATCTCTTGAGCCTGTCTGCTGCATGTGATGCCTTGGACCAGCACAACCTCAAGCAAAATGACCAGCCCATGGATATCCTACAGATCATTAACTGTTTGACTACTATTTATGATCGTCTGGAGCAAGAGCACAACAATTTGGTCAATGTCCCTCTCTGTGTGGACATGTGTCTCAACTGGCTTCTCAATGTTTATGATACGTACGTATAGCAAGAAGGGAACTTGCTTACACAGTGATCACAGTATTAACATTATAGTAGTGTCCCGGAAGCTATGGATATGACTTGATTTATACTTAATTAGGTAGCAGTAAGAGCTATAATGCAGCCTTCAATCCTAGAAGCAGAGGCAGGCAGATTTGTATGAGTGAGGGTCAGGACAGCCAGAACTACATAGTGAGACTCTCTCAGAGGGGAAAACAAAGAGCTGTAATGCAGACTGCTCTCAGATCAGAATCCAACCATAAACTGAGATAGGATTTTTTTTTTTTTTTTTTTTTAGCAGAATGAGTTATCATGATGCAGCTGTGGTTCTTTCTTTCTTTCTTTCTTTCTTTCTTTTTTTTTTAAACCGGTGTTTTGGAATTCTTCCATCCATTTTGTAGTGGGTTGTCTAACTGGCAGGGATGACAGTGCTCCTGGAGATGCTGGCACACCTGTCATCAGATCGGAATTGTTGTAGTGGATATGTAAGACAATTATGAAGATTGTGAATAGATGAGCCACACAAAATGAAAAGAAGCTCAAATACAGCAAACTTAGCTCCTGAAACCAAGCAAAATTGTTGTTTTATTTTGTTTTTAGAATCCTTTTACAGAGCTGCTCTTTGGCGCTTCCATGCATCAACCTCTGTTAGTTAGAGAGCAGTCATTATTTTCCTCTGGATTGCACACAGGACAGAGCTCCAGTTCTCATTTTGTTTTCATCTTAATGAACACAATTGAAGAAGGAAGCAGAGGAATTGGTCTTGATTTTTCACTGAATTCCTCTTAGACCTCGGAATTATTGCATGCCTCATTTCACATATCAACAAGCACATACTCCCATTTTGGAAATATAGGAAGAATTTCTTAAAGGAATTGCATATCAAATACTTTACCTTATGCTTCTGTTGTATGTTGATCTGCTTTTAATATGCATATATAGATTGTTTTCTTTGTTATTTTGGTAAGCTACTAACTTAAGTTTCAGAACCATCTGACTATTAAATACATATCTACATGGTTATTGAAAATATCAGATTTTCGTTGTGCATTACATTTACATTTGTTTTTATCATAGTTTATATTCACGTCTTACCTCATATTTTTGGCATCATTTTCTTTGTAGATGAGAAGAGAATGGATTCTGAATATAGAATTTCCATTCAGCCTACCTGAAAATGATTTGAAGATAATTTTAACTCCTTTAACACTTAAATTGCTGTATAAAGTTACCTGTCAAACTTTGATTTCCTTTTTAGTACTAGGAAAACAGATAATATTTTGCAGTGACAGAAATTTCATTAAAGTGTTTGAGTCTAATATTTTCTTTAAATAAAAGATCTAATAAGTTATACTAATTGAAAACTGAGCGTAGTGACCAACAAACACACCAAAATCTGAGATATAATTACTCTCAAAAATCAAACAAATAAGTAAAAAGTTTTTAAAAAAATTTCCTACAAAATGGAAATCTGTTCAATCATTATATTTTTTTACCCCATAGTTAAATTTTTGTGTTGATACATTTTTGTGTAGAATGCTTTATTTTACTTCCTAATGTAACAAAGCATAACCATATTATAATGTTCATACTTGATATGTGTATCTTATACAGCATATATTTGAATCCTTTCTGATAGTGTATATGATGGTTTCATTGGAAATATATAGTCATATTTTATATTTTGTGTTGTGTGACCTAAAGTGATGACTCATCTTCTTAGTAAGTAGTGAGTTGATGAAATTCTGAGAGTGCTGAACACAGAAGAGTTAGAAATTGTTTTTGGCTTCAACCACCAACCTTGACAATTTGCTTTAGTAACCAGAACTGCCGAGTGCACAGTAATAATTCTTCCTCTTACTCAACCAAGGTGGCTCTCTGTAGGTGAGTGGAAGGGTATTTTATCCTTATTTTATGTAGCGCTACTCTGGCAATTCATGTAAGGGCTTTTAAGAGTTGAGAATTGGGTATATATTCATTAATTTGGTTCATAAAACTTTCCCATTGCATTCGAGGTCATGAGGCAAACATAATGAACTCAGAAAAGTTATTAATAGCCTTAATCAAACAGTGGTCTATAGAGTTTCCATATTCCAAGGCCTTTTGCCCCTTAACTAGAAGCTTCTACTCTCTATTGGAGTGCCAGTAATTGTTTTTGTGTGTTTGTTTGTTTGTTTTTGGTTTTATTCTTCATAATAGGGGACGAACAGGGAGGATCCGTGTCCTGTCTTTTAAAACTGGCATCATTTCTCTGTGTAAAGCACACTTGGAAGACAAATACAGATGTAAGTCTTGTGTATAAATTATGTATTTTTTATTGATGTTACCTAATTACTCTCATTCTAGATGGAAAATGATATGCTATTCTTATTTGAAGGCAGGTTTGTCGTTTTAGACGTAGAACTGCTTTAAAAGTGTCATAAAATTTAGGTTGTGCTGTTCCCTGTCAGACATTACATTAAAGGTATTTAAATAGAGAATGAGGATTAGCTTTGCTGGTACAAGTATTTTTTTATGTTACATTGACTGTGTCTTAGTAAAACACATGTTCCAAGGGGATAAAGTCTGATTTCCTAACCCCTTTGTGTGAGTCAGGAAAAGAAACGTGAAGGTTTAATCCCTGCTTTTCCTGTGTCTCTTTGGATTCCCACTTAAATAATACTATCTCGCATTTATGTTCAAAACCCATTATTTATAATCATCTTACTGCAAGCTGTACTGACACATACAATTCTGTGATGTGACTAACATTTTAATGTTGAGGGATGGTTAGTTTGCTATTTCTTAAAAGGTAAGTAGCATCCTCTAGAATTTTAGTTTGATTAGCTATTGGGATCTTTTACTTAAAAACTGTGAGTCAAAATAAAAGGCAAATGTTAAAGGAATGATGGTTTGGGTGACTAAGTCGGCATCCATTCTCACTGTAAAAGATTGTATATATTGCTCCCCGGAAATGCTTGTAAGAAGCCTTTTCAGAAGGACTTGAAAAAAATCTAGCCTGTCCTAGCTATCGCCTAAGAAACTAGTCATACATAGGTGAAGGGGTGTGCTAGGAGTAAATATAGGAAAATGACAAAAGGCATGGCATTTCTCAAGGCCATGCTGTGTCCTAGTTCTCATTTTTATAGAGTAAACTGTAGTATGCACAAACTACTGTAGGGCTCACTTTTATATAGCTTCCATGTGAATTTTCCTTTCCTAAGAACAAAATGAAACAATCCCCACCCAAACCTGAAAAATGCTTTTTAATATTTTAACATTATTTTGGATAAGACAATATTTCTGAGTGCTTTATCTTTGGAATATTATAATTACTTATTGTAAGTTATACTTATTGTCTTTTATAAAGATATGAGAGTGGTTTCTCCCTATCTTCCTGTCTCCACTCACTGTTTATACAAGGTCATCCTTGACTACCTAATAAGACCCTTTCTTTCAAAATAAATAAATAAATAAATAAACACAAAAGCAGAAATAATAATAATAAGGCAGACATAAAAGATCAGTGATAGCCTAGCATGGTATGAGATAATTATACATAAGCACAGCTTACTATGTGAGCAAACATGCCAATCTCAATGAAGCTTAATGGGCTATGACTGTAAATTTTCCTGATCATGTTACATCTTTTAATATCTGATACTCACATGCGTTTGGATAATTACATGGCTCTTGATTCTAAAATTTATGTGGTAGTATTCAAACCATATATATAAAATAGTTACCAAAGGATTGTGTTTTCCTTTGAATAATTCAGTTGTTAAGAATACATTTAGGGAGCTGATGAGATGGCTCATTGGCTAAAGATACTTGCTGCCAAGACTAATAACCCAGGATCCATATGGTAGAGGGAGGAAGAGAAAGAATCTTTTTAATTACCCCCTGACCTCCACATACTCTAAATGCATACATACATAATAAATCAATAAAATGTAAATTGTAAAAATACATATAGAGCCAGCAAGATGGCTCTGTGGATAAAGGCACTTGCCTTTTTTACATTACATATGCAGGTAGTAGTAATTAACGTAGAAGTATATTCTTATTTGCCTAAATTAGCCACAGTCCCTGTCAGTCTAACATGGAGAAAGCCATGGGATCGTATAAAAAAAAAAAAAAAAAAAAAAAAAAAGCCTTGTATCTTAGAAAACCACACTCCTATAATCTTAGCACTTAGGAGGGAGAGTCAGGAGAATTTGAAGTTCAAGGTTATTCTCAACTATATACATTAGCCCACCGCCCCACCAAAAATAAAATAAAGATAAAAAGCAAAACAGTGAGCCCCATCTGTGGGGATATTGTTTATTCCTTGGAATTAGTACTGGCATTGAACTAGACATTGGGTTCTGCTTACATTCACTTATTGCAGTGTTTGTATTTTCATGTTTCTGTTCTTCTTTTTATAGACCTTTTCAAGCAAGTGGCAAGTTCAACTGGCTTTTGTGACCAGCGTAGACTGGGTCTTCTTCTTCATGATTCTATTCAAATCCCAAGGCAGTTGGGTGAAGTTGCCTCCTTTGGGGGCAGTAACATTGAGCCAAGCGTCAGGAGCTGCTTCCAATTTGTAAGTTATTCGCCCTTTTTTCTTCTGTATGTGTGACTGGGCAAGTGTTCTACCATCAGTCCATCTCTTGAGACACACACACACACACACTTACAATCTTTTAGTAAGATCTAAGGTTTGCAATCTTCTAGTGTCTTTTGCGTGCTCAACAAATTGCCATTCTTGTTCATTCGGTCTTTTACTGCCTCCTCTGTCCTTTATTTTCTGCTCCTCCCTCTCACTGCCTGAGCCCTCTACTATGTCAGACATGTTGGCTGTTTCTATTTTTGGTAAAGTAGGTAGCACTGCTATGTAGCATTATAATGAATATCCTTTTTAAAACATCTCTCCCTCTCTCCTCTCTCTCTCTTTCCCTCCTTCACTCTCCTCTGTGTGTGCATTTCATACATGCCTCTGTGTGTGTGTGTGTGTTTGTGTGTGTGTGTGTGTGTGTGTATGTATGTATGTATGTGTGTTCACAGTGTGGATGAAGGCATGTGCCCATAGAGGACACCCTTGAGCATCATTCTTAACTTTCCATCTTGTTTCAGAAAGGTTCTTTTGCTTTTTGCTACTGTATGTGCATGGCTAGCTGGCTACCAAACTTTCAGGGATTCTCCTGTCTTGTCTCTGCCTGTCCTTTTGCTGTATGAGCAGTGTGATTACAGACCTATACTACTATGACTCGTCTTCTGTAGGTCCTAGAGTTCTGAGCTCAATCAAGTCTTCATGCTTCCAATCCTCAGTCCATTTTCTCTTCTTTAAAGTTGATTCCTTTGGATAAGTTTGCCAGGAGTAAGATGATCAGATTTAAGGATATAAATATTGTTGTGGCTTTTGATTCATATTAACAGATAGCTTTTCTTCAACAACTCTTTCTAGTTGTAATTCCACCAGAATTAATGGAATAAGATATTTGCAGGACTACTTTATTACTGTATTCTTATGGATTTTTAAACGCTACAAGCTGTTTTCCTTATGTGAGATTTCTCAGTCATTCTAATCTAATTCATAATGGATAAGATTTATAAAATTAAAGTCTTATCATAGACAAGGAAAAAATGTAGGCAGCTTTCTAGGAAGAACCCTGTGACTATTTGGATGTGATAGCAGTTTGACTGTTTAAGAGTTAATAGGCAATATGACTGAATGTGCACAAAATAAGCCCACTTAATATAGAGTGGGATATATTTTTTGAGTTATTTTGCCAAAATGGTGGCAGATTAGCTGTAAAATAGATATGGTAAATAAATGCATTTTTCACCATTCCAAAGTATGAACATATTGTCATTATGAAAACTTTGTACATGCTTTTGCATCTAATAATATCTATTCTAGAATACCAATACTGATTACTTTCATATAATGAATTCTAGCAGCCATACATAATATAGATCTGTTTTTTAAATTCACTTAAAAAACAACATTCAATGTTATAAATTTCTCACTAATCCTTGTTTATCTTTTACTGAAATGCTTCTTTTTTTAAAGTTCCAGTTGTGAAGGGCATGCACACATATTCACATGTGTATACCTATATTATATTTTAGGTTAAAAGAAAACATCAGATTATAGAGGCATGGACAGCTGTCTCTATTGTATAATGATCCCTGTTGTAGAGAGCTATGCTCAGGGCTCCCTGTCACCTCCCTGTAATGACACATTTGACAGCCTTTACCTACAGTAAGTGTAGTCTCTGCTTGGATTTGGTTATCTAGATAGGAGGCTGTTGAATTAAAGCTCTGCTTTCCCTTGTGAGGGGGCCAGTCTGTTCCACCTCAGCTTTTGCTAGTGGCCCCTTCTTCAGAACTCTGTCTCTCGTACTTGCATCCTTGCCATCTCTATAAAAGCAACCCTCTTGTCAGCATCAGCATTTGAACTCAGTCCATCTTGCATATTGATTGAATGCCTCTGTGCTAGCCAGGAAGCTCCTGGAAACCTCTTTTGTTAGATTAGGAAGAAATTGACCAAGAGATGCCCAGTGATAACAAGTGACTTTTTATGTGCTCCTTGCTTTTTTTAATTTCCTTCTTTGAGCATTTATAATTTTGAAAAGAAAAAGAAAGAAAATCAATGAATAAAGTGCTTCCTTTGATTCCTTTCCATTGCAATCAATCTTTATCTTATTTCTCAGCCTGCTTATTGCTTGTGTACACCATTGCATTTTTTTTGTATCCTAGGAAGCATAAGTGCCATACTGTAGTGTCTTTCTTTGGTCTGAATGGCCTTTTACATATTTTAAAGTATTACCACATGACAACCATCATTAAAGGTCTCCAATTTATATCCATTTCCTGCTGGATTAATTTTAACTTCTTTATTTTAGCCCTCAGGTCTTTCCTAATGTAGTTCCACAACCATTGATTTGAAACATTGCTCTTGCTACATTAGAATAGCCATGCCTCAGTGTTTGCATTTAGCATGATTGTAATTAGTGTCATTATTATTGATACTTATAAAATTTTGCCTTTATTCAAATGAATTTATTCATTGAATTCTCACAATCCTTTGAAGAGAATACAATCGGCTGGCTCAGGAGGTTTTGGGGTTTATGTTTAAACAACTTATCTGTGCCTTTAAACTCTGTCACCTGGTGGAATGGTTGGATTCTCATCTATACATGCCACCTCTTACCCAAATATGTTCTTCCTGCCACTTTTTCCCAGCCTGCTCTCAAGGTCGCACAACAAATATTCCATCACTATAGTCCTAGGTTCTGGGTCAAATAAGAAGTGTGGCTTATCTTATTTATATATGGTAAGACTCTTGTAACCATTTCCCATCACGTTGACTGACCCTATTGTGAATGGTTACTTCAGAAGCTATGTCCTAGGCCTGGATTGCTTTTCCTCCACCAGGTGCTCTGGTAGTCACCTTGCCTTTCATTGTGCAATAATCATGAAAATACAATATTTGCCATAGGGGAAGATAGCAGCAGTGAAAATGCCCTCTGCCCTCTGTTTGAAGTGTAAAAGCTTGGGAACCGGCTAGGCTTGCTCCTTCAGCAAGCTCATGTTCAAAGCTTGCTATTTCTGCTGTTGTGAGGAGGTAGTGAAGTACTTGTTTCTCTTTTTTGCACTTCCAATGTTGACATTAAGCAGTAGCTCTTCTGTTTCCTTGTTCTTTGTCACCACATAGAAAGCTTCTTTTTCCTGTGCTGATACAGTTAGAAAGGTATGGAAATTTCAGGTTCATGGTCCACTTGTGGCAGGAAGTGAGGTAAACTTTTATGGGCCAAGTGCTCAGGATGATCTTCAAAAGGTTCCTATAGTCTTCAGTTCTATTTGGACCCACCATATGCTCACAAAGATGAAAGGAAAGTCACCACTCAGATCTAAAAAAAAAAAAAAGAAAGAAAAAAGAAAGAAAGAAAGGAAAAGAAAGCAAGAAAGAAAAAGAAAAAACTGACAACTTAAAAATAAGTGTAAGGACTGTATGATCGCATGCACCTATAATCGAATTACATAGGAAGCTGAAGCAGAAGGATCAATATCCTGGGCTACATAGTGAGCTAGAGGCCATCCTGGGGTATGTAGCAAAACCATACTGAAAAAAGAACAAACAAGGATTTGGGGAGATAGGCTCAGTTAATAAAATGTTAACACTGCCAGCATGGAGATCTGAGTTTGGATCCTGCATCCAAAAATCCAGGCGTGGCAGCATGTGCCAGTAATCTCACTGCCAGAGAGGATAGAGATCTTGCTGGCCGGATAGCCTTGCTGAATTGGTGAGCTGCAGATTCAGTGAGAGGCCCAATCTCAAAAGATAAGGCAGAAGTCCATGGAGTAAAAAGCCTGGTAACTTGAGTTGAAACTTAGAAGCACACATGAAGGTGGAAGGAGGAAATTGATTCCACAAAATTGTATTCTGACTTCCACATGCATGCCATGATGCTTATTACAACCCCCACCCAAAATTAGTAAAAATTAAACCATGCCTATGCATATTGAAACTGCTTATGCAAGATGTGTGTGGCATCTTCAGTAATACTAAGTCAAGCTACTGACACACTGCTGTTGCCACATTGACTGGAAAGTTGACTCATTTTGACAGTAATGAAAAAGTTTTGAAACTTAGCTGTTTTGTGATCCAGCTTCAACTAATGTTGATTACATTGTTCCTCTTTCATATTCCATAGGAAAAAAGACCATTGAGATAGAAATTGATCTTTAAGGCCATAGGAAAGAAAATCTTATGGTGGCAATGAGTCACCAACTGCCTGAAAGAACCTTTGGGTTGTCCACATCATTCTTTTTTCAGATGAAGAAACGATGTTCAAGGAGAGAGGGTGAATATATTCTGTACTGTGCCATCATACCAACTACTGGGATTAACCACTTCAAATACTGAAGCAACTAATAAAGGATAATTAGGTTGGCATAATGCTTTATATCAGTTTTATGTTGCAATGGGATGGCATAAGTTAATGAACATCTCTCCCTCAATACACACATCTTTGTTACAAATACTCTAATATGGGGGCTGGATGTGTAGCTCAGTGGATAAGAGTGCATGTCGCTCTTGAAGAGAATCTGGGTGTGGTTCCCAGAACCCATGCTGGACAGCCCACAACTGCCTGTATCTCAACCTCCAAGAGATGTAACACTCTCTTCCGGAATCTACCAGTATCTATTCTCATGTGCCCATATCTACAGTAACCTATATTATAATTGTTTTTCAAATAGTATAATAGCATTTGGGCCTTGTCTGTTTTTAACTAAAATCAAATATTACCTTTAGGTACAAAACTTCAGTGACTTCAGAAAGAGTAATGTATCAGCAAATAGCATTTGTCACTATCCTGAGCAGTACTTCCTTCCTCCACTATGATGGGCTTTGTATTGTTTTCTTCTGTAAACACTTTAATGACTTTATTATTTAGATAGACTTCTGTACACCAACTTTATATTCAATATGCTTCATCTACAAGTGCTAGGGTGTCGAAGTATGCTTATTCTACATCTGTTTTCTGCCTCCTGCTGTATTCATACATTCAAAATGAATGCATCATTGCTGTTTCA